ACTAGAACTGAACTAGAACTGAACTAGAACTGAACTAGAACTGAACTAGAACTGAACTAGAACTGAACTAGAACTGAACTAGAAACTGAACTAGAACTGAACTAGAACTGAACTAGAACTGAACTAGAACTGAACTAGAACTGAACTAGAACTGAACTAGAACTGAACTAGAACTGAACTAGAACTGAACTAGAACTGAACTAGAACTGAACTAGAACTGAACTAGAACTGAACTAGAACTGAACTAGAACTGAACTAGAACTGAACTAGAACTGAACTAGAACTGAACTAGAACTGAACTAGAACTGAACTAGAACTGAACTAGAACTGAACTAGAACTGAACTAGAACTGAACTAGAACTGAACTAGAACTGAACTAGAACTGAACTAGAACTGAAGTAGAACTGAACTAGAACTGAACTAGAACTGAACTAGAACAGAACTAGAACTGAACTAGAACTGAACTAGTACCGAAGTAGAACTGAACTAGAACTGAACTAGTACTGAAGTAGAACTTACATTTTGAATCCAACTTCAAATTAGAACGGCCACTATCTGTATATTACTGTTTTTAAAAAAATGCATGGAAAACCCCATTTATTTGGTATGCTCAGTAACAATGTTGCGCCATTTATTTATGACTTTTTCTACTAAAACTGACATCATACCAAAACGGCAACAGTTACAACTGATGATGTCTCTGATGAGTCTCAGTATATCTCTGGTATTTATTCGGTATTTTTTGTTCGTCATGTTGTTGTTGCTGCTGTTTAGGCTTAAACACAAATTTTAGATATTGTTTCATTTATGCCTAATCCTAAGAGATTTTCTTGAAACGTGAGTTCACATAAGGGAAACGTTTATACTTATACAATGAGAGTTCTTTTAACATATGTACGTATAATGATGAGAGTTACGTACATGTATTTATAATGCATTCAACAAAAGGATAACTACAGTTACTTAACTTTGTTCATGTGCTAGTAATGAATGAATAATTCTTTTTTTTTTTCTTCTGTTTTATAATTTTTAATATTTAAAAAAACCATAAATTTCTAAGTTTCCTTTTCCTATGTGAGCTGAGTCTGTCTATCTGCCCGTCCGTCTGTCCGTCTGTTGGATGGCGTGCATGTAACAATATTTTTTAAATTGTTTGAAAGTTAACAAATGTGTCAAAAAGTGTAAAGACAACTGTCATGGGAGATTGCAATAAAAAAGAAAAGATATTGTGCAAATAAATGTTAATGGTATTAAAATATGAATAGTTGAACAAGTTTTAAGAAAATAAATGGGAAAGAAATGTAAGCGAAAGGTAAGAAATATTTGAATAGCAATGAAGCAGGTAAAATTTGTTTTACGATAGGAGTTCTGTAAAATATTAAGTGTAAAATAATTAAAATTTAAAAAAATATGATCGCCAGTGACCGATAGCAAAAGATCGTGCTGAACAAAGTTTAAGAAACAAGTAGAATTAAGAAGATATTGACAACTGCTGTGTCAATTTTGAAGTTTAATTTATCTTTCTCTCGGCATCTGATGGCTGTTGAGCCTGATCCTTAGTTTAAACTAAATAAGGCAAGATTTCCTCAATTGAAATTCAATTGTTTCCCTAATAAAAATTTAAACTAATTAGTATGAGAGTATGGGAAAATTTGTAAACTCCAGCAAAGGGAAGTAATAATTGAAATTAAATTGATTTCCTTTTTTTAATATTTCAACCATAACGACTAAGAATCACATGGAATCTCTTCACCATTTCCAACTACATATAATAATTTTAATTGTTTTAAGATTTCTCTTAAAGATATTTAAGTGTTTCTTGTTTTTCTTGTGGAAACTGAATTTACATATGTGGGAATTTTTTGTTGTAAATTATACAAATTTGTTCATTATTTGATCAATCAATGTCAAACTCTTTTTTTGTACAATTTACCACAAACATTTATTTATAAAAAAAAATCTTATAATTTAATTGATTTTTTTTTCTTTCTTTTAATTAAAAACCTCAAGATTATAAAACTGTAATTCGATATTGGCGTCTTGACGTATTTACATACATATTTATAATTGTCTTGTCTTGTTAAACATAATTTGGAAACAATGTCTTTTTTTTTGATTTTATTCAAATTTTAACAAATTATTAATTAATATTTATAAAGACAATGTAAGCTGGAGTTTTAAGTTTTTTTCAGCCAAAATAAGCATTAATCTTGCCGCCCAAGATTTTGAAAGCTAAATACATAGATTGGTGTCCAAAAAACACATAATACCTTTTAAGCATTTCTTAAGTTTTGGCGCAGTAAAATTACAATCACAAAATCTGAACTAGAACTGAACTAGAACTGAACTAGAACTGAACTAGAACTGAACTAGAACTGAACTAGAACTGAACTAGAACTGAACTAGAACTGAACTAGAACTGAACTAGAACTGAACTAGAACTGAACTAGAACTGAACTAGAACTGAACTAGAACTGAACTAGAACTGAACTAGAACTGAACTAGAACTGAACTAGAACTGAACTAGAACTGAATTAGAACTGAACTAGAACTGAACTAGAACTGAACTAGAACTGAACTAGAACTGACTAGAACTGAACTAGAACTGAACTAGAACTGAACTAGAACTGAACTAGAACTGAACTATAACTGAACTATAACTGAACTAGAACTGAACTATAACTGAACTAGAACTGAACTAGAACTGACTAGAACTGAACTGAACTAGAACTGAACTAGAACTGAACTAGAACTGAACTAGAACTGAACTAGAACTGAACTAGACTAACCTGAACTAGAACTGAACTAGAACTGAACTAGAACTGAACTAGAACTGAACTAGAACTGAACTAGAACTGAACTAGAACTGAACTAGAACTGAACTAGAACTGAACTAGAACTGAACTAGAACTGAACTAGACTACTACTGAACTAGAACTGAACTAGAACTGAACTAGAACTGAACTAGAACTGAACTAGAAACTGAACTAGAACTGAACTAGAACTGAACTAGAACTGAACTAGAACTGAACTAGAACAGAACTAGAACTGAACTAGAACAGAACTAGAACTGAACTAGAACTGAACTAGAACTGAACTAGAACTGAACTAGAACTGAACTTGAACTAGAACTGAACTAGAACTGAACTTGAACTAGAACTGAACTAGAACTGAACTAGAACTGAACTAGAACTGAACTAGAACTGAACTAGAACTGAACTAGAACTGAACTAGAATTGAACTAGAACTGAACTAGAACTGAACTAGAACTGAACTAGAACTGAACTAGAACTGAACTAGAACTGAACTAGAACTGAACTAGAACTGAACTAGAACTGAACTAGAACTGAACTAGAACTGAACTAGAACTGAACTAGAACTGAACTAGAAACTGAACTAGAAACTGAACTAGAACTGAACTAGAACTGAACTAGAACTGAACTAGAACTGAACTAGAACTGAACTTGAACTGAACTAGAACTGAACTGAAGGTTATAAAATCAACATTTATTCATGGATTTTATAAAAATTTTATTTGTCATACCATTAGCTTTATGATGGATTATAAAATTTAAAATTTTTTATAGTTTTATATTTTTAAGGAATTTTTTAAAAATGCAAAATTTTTTAATATTGTTTTTTTTTTTTTTTTTTTTTTTTTTTTTTTGTTTGTTTGTCATATAAGTGGTTCCATCACTCAATTGAATATAAAATCAATATTAATGTACAGATTTTCATAAAATAAAGCTCAGTAAATTCAGAACACTTTATTATATAAGTTTTATTTATAATTTAGTTTTTTGGATCCTAGAAGATTTTTTAGGAATTTTTTTAAAATCATTGAAAGCAGAAATTTTGACAGTTTTTCATCAAAGTTTTGGAAATTTCTTTCAAATTGTTGAAAAGTTTTAGAAATATTTGGTATTTAAGTTAAATAGAAATTGTTGTTGTTGTTTTGTGTAAATAATTAGCACAAATCGTTGTGGAGCCATGTTGAAATATTTACTGTTTTTCACTTAATAACACTTTAATCTTCTTCAAGAAAGTAATTTACAAACGTAGTGCCTTAATGTTATATATAACATTAGGGTGTCCCTTAAATAAAAGTTGTTGATATTATAAACTAAACGACTTAGTTCCAGAACTATTCCAAGGACTATGTATGAGTTCTATAATGTTTCTCTTGTACTAGTTTCAAGTTTAAAGTACTGGCTGCAGAACCGTTGTATAGAATTAACACAATTAAAAGCTCTAAAGCTCTATACGGTGAGTTAAAGGTGTATGGAGACGAGATGAATAATTGAAAAGTACATATGCTTTTTTTGGTAAAGGACAAAAATGTAACAAATTGACACCAAACTGTTTATAATTTTTTAATAACATCCGTTGTCAAAATATATACATACTATGTAATGTTGACAACGTTGCGTTGTCAATTTGTTGACAACAGATTGTTTATCAATAGTGAGCTTACCACGTTTGTTAACATTTAGACAACGAATGTGTATCAACATTACATAGTGTTGTTGTACGTATTTATATACTTTGACAACCGATGTTATTGACAAATTTTAACACTTTGGTGACAATTTGGTACCAGTCATGTATATTCTTTTTTGCTCTGTGTACCTATAAGGTGTTGCAAAGACCTTTCATATAATATCCATTTTGCTTATAATATCCTTGAAAAATCACAAAAACCTTTTAAAAGAAGCATTTTATCCTTTGATCTAGTTCACCAAACATTTGCAACAAGGACGTTTACAAAATCATCCTAGCTTTGTGTTAAATTTTCTACATTTAACGATTTTATTTGTAATTTAAACTTTTAAGCAAAAAATTATATTTCTTAAATTTTTTTCATATTTTTTTTAACTTAAAGTCCTTAAAAGTCCTTTTTTGTCTTTTGAAAACATTATTCTTAAGAAGTGTTATGTATTTTCTTGTTGTGTTTTTTGTTATATAAATAAATTTAAAAAAAAAAATTTATATAATATTACTTTTTTTATATTTTCCTAGAGATTGTTTAAATAATCCTTGTTTAATCCTTGTATTGTTGTGCTTTTATTGCTGTTGTTTTCGTTTTATTGTTATTGTTGTTGAAGTAGTTGTTGTGGTTTTTTTAAAGAATTTTTTTTTTGTTATTGTTGTTATAGTGCTAACACTGCAATATAATATATTTATATGTTTTTTGCACTTTAATCCTTTTTAAACACTCACTCACACACATATACATATATATAGAAATTAATATTTTTTCTATATTATTTTCTGCTCTTTTGTGTTAAAATAAGCTTTTTTATGGTTTGATAAGGATTTTATTTATAATTTTTTTTTTTCTTGTTAAACAAAACACTTGGCTGTAGTTATTATTTAACTATTATTGATTTAGGTTATAAGCCAAACTTGAGAATTTTACATGATTTTGTTTAAAATTTTATAGCAATTTTTTTCTTAAAATTTTCTATGTATTTGCCAAAATTTTTACACAATGTTTAACACTAAAATTTTTGAATTTTATTTAATAAAGAATTTTCTTCACACTTTAAACCAACCGTTATATACCGAATTAATTTTCCAGATTTTCCGTTTATCACGACGAAATTGACGAAAATGTGCGTTTGTATACTTTTCAATAAAAGAAAAACTCTTTTTTTTTTTTTGTTTTCTTATTTTATTCGATTTTGTTTTAAACCACGATTTCGTAAAATAGAATACTTGGTGTATATATTATTTCAAATACATCTAACACCTTTTCGAGTACCAAATCGTTTGAATATCCCGGCAACACTGAATTCACTCTGCTTACGAAATTTATGAATTGCGTGCATTTCACTATGCTGTCCACATACAATGTGTATAAATTGTAGAGCATAAATATTTTTGTTTAGTGCACTCAAAATAATAAAATTCCATTCAGTCAAACGAAACATTTGCTCAGCACGAACAGAAAATATACGCTCAGAGAACATTAAATCATTAAGCACTATAAGTGGATTGTATTGGTATTCTCCAGAAATCAAAACATTTCTTGCTCCATATGTGGTTTATATAGTGGAATTAGTTTTTTTCACACTAATATTGCCCTAATACCTACCACAAAACTCTCAGTTAAAGAGTGTTAACCACAGAGAGCGAGAGCAAGAGAGAGTGAAACTCTGTGTATAAACATCACTAATTCCTGTAAGAGCTTACATTACAATACATTTACTTACCCATTCTGTGTGTCATGGCTCATGCGCTTTATATCATACTTTTGTTTTACTTTTATTACTCCCCTATAGTGAGTTCTTTAAAATATAGTAAATTTTAAAAGAAATCTCTCAATTCTTATAAAACTATCGACCAGATAGGAAGTTAGTAGCAGTTATATTTCATTGAACAATTTGATGGTCATGATGATGCTAATAATGTAGGCCATGTATGCATTGATTATAACACACACATATTTTTGACCAAGTCCTTCAAACGTGTAAAAAGGACTTTATGTTAATAGAGTGGGAGTATGTGATATTGGCTTTTTGAATTAGGTTGTTTTTATTAGGCAATATATAATATACCGAAATATTGGTTTTGATTTCCTAAAGGGTGTTTACCCTCAACAAAAATATGGAAGTAAACCGTTTAGTAGTCCAAGGTATATAATATAGGCATGGACCATCGCAACCTTTAAAGAAGCATCCACGTCTATAGTGGATGTTTGCAACACCGAAAAATATTGGTTCTACTACACCCATAAAGTATACCAATCAGCTCAGAATCACATTCTGAATCAATTAAGCTATGACCGTATGTCTGTCCTTCCGTTTGTCAGTCCGTCCGTTTGTCTGTCCTTCCGTTTGTCTGTCCTTCCTTTTGTCTGTCCGTCCGTTTGTCTGTCCACGTAAATCTTGTTCGCACGATACAGATCGCAATTTTCAAGGTAATTTGATGAAATTTGGCACATTCTCTTCTCCCAAGGACGAAGCCTGTAGAAAATAATTAAAATCGGTGCATTATTTCGCCTAGCCCACATACAACCGTACCCCCGAATAGGGCTCTTGAACTTATAAATATGTTAAATCTATACAAAAATCGACAAACCTTAGTTTTATATAAATGATAGGTAATGCCAATTTCCACAATGATCGGGATTCATTTGACCCTAGCACCCATATAAAGTCCCCTTAAGAAAATGACATGAAGGTCAAAATTCACTTATAAACTGAAACTGCAAACGTAAATACCTCTACCAAAATTTATAAGGATAGGCCCATATAAATCCACTATATAAACCCTCTTTTAGAAAATCTCTTTATTTTTTTGTCAACAAATTGTTATACATTCTTACTTTTTGGATCAATCTTAGTCCTTAACGCGGTTCAATTTGGCATTAGCTATACTCAGAGTTTCGTTTCTTATTATAATCACCCTAAACTAACCTAACCCTATAAAAAAAACATGCTCCATTTAGCACTGCTATAACCTAGGGGGGGGACCACATTATCCACACATGCATTACAACAGACTAATCCAAAAACTGCTCCTTTACAAAAATTATGGCTGTACTTGATCAACACATAAAAACTTATATAATGCAGGCTATGGACCTTGTTGTTTTCAAAAATAATGTTATATATGATTACTAAATGGGTCATGTACTCCAATAATGTTTACAGGGCATCATATACCCCAATAATGTTTAGAGGGTTATAGCAGCTTGAATACCTATGTAAAACGTGATATTGCTATTAAATATTGATCTCATAGATATACATCTTACTTGCTTCTACGGTCACGGTTAAACTGGAGGTCCACATCATGAATTCTCTGCTTCTTCGCACCAATACATAGAATCAATGTTGTTATGTGCTGCAAGTTATAAGCACAAAAGCTTAAAATGCCTGGAAGCGTAGAATGTAGGTCTGTTTTGAACTTTTCTAAGTGTCATAATCGCCGCAGGAACATGTCAGCTGATTTTGACAATTTGTATACTATTTTTAAAGCTTTGACGTGATTTTGACAATTTGAATACTATTTTTAATGATTTGATGCGAAAACACTTTGTGTGGACTTACAGCTTTAAATATTTCCATTGTAAATTTGCTAAATTCATTTCTCAGTTTAAGACACCTCATAAAATATACCACTAACCGTTCCATTTATTTTCTTAGTGCCATCTATTGACACCTCAGTACTATTCTGATTTATTCTCTGGCAGTTATATCTTTATACCAGCAGATGTGGATTGCTTGTTAATCCGTTCTGATATTCTTTGGAATTTTAGTGCATGTTCATGATTGCTTAACTATTGATAAATGGAGATGTGATTTTAGTATATTTCTAGTCTATGTATCTATTACAATCACGATTAGGGATGCCAATCGGGACTGGTTTTTAGAAATCCCGGGATTCGGGACTTTTAAATAAATTCCGGAATCCCGATATCGGGATCCCGGGATTTTCGGGATTTCTAAATCCCGAAAAATATAAAAAAAATTCAAAAAATCTTAATAATTTACCGACAAAAATAAAACGTTTTATTTCATATTGCAATATGAATACTCTTAGTAGGTGTTTACTTTCCAATAAGCATTTTGTGAAAAGAAAAACAAATGAATTCAAAGTACATACTTAGAATAAAAATCTTTCCATCCCAGGCACTGAATAGTAGAATAAAAGCCTAAAATAATACCCATGATATCCAAATTTACAATGGTTTCCAAATAATATTTAAATAGTATGTGTAATGGAGATCCATACGAGGCTACATAGAGCACCTGTACTGCACCTATATCTCCTCCACCTTATATTCCGTGTTCACTAGCCAAGGGAATTATCTTCTCGCCATCTTATTGACAGGTTGACTTCCATTATAGATATTCGATAGTATCAATGCCTATTTATTGCCCTTTTTATACCCTTAGTAGGGATGGTATATTGGGTTTCTCCGGAGTAGTGCTTTTGTTTTATACTGTCCTAAAATACGCTGATGAAATTTGAAATGATCGGGCTTTTGATCCGAGCCCCCATACAAAACACAGCTTTAAAAAATAATTAGTGTCCACAATTCGCTTAAAAAGAGAACTGTCGCAATGAAATTCAGCATAAAACATTTTATGTAACCGTAAATTCGTCCTCCAAATTTTATGAGGATCGACTCATATGATGGCGTCCTTCCCCCAAGCATATTTCAGAAAAATAGTTTTTTAACAATAAAGTGCTAGAATATATCGGAGGCGAGGTATACATTTATTATGAAAACTAAATTACATTTTACTCTCATAACTGGTGTATGGGGTTATATGGTCGGCCTCGCCCGCCTATAATTTCGTACTTGTTATTTTTATATATCCGATAGTATCTATGCCTATTTAGTATAGCAATGAAATTTGATATTAGTAAATCCCTGACGAGCCAAAACCTCTCTACCAAATTTTATGTGGGTCGGTTCATAATTGACCCTACCCCCATATAAGGTCCCGTTAAAAAAATCACTTTAACGCTTATTACTGGCTTAAAAATAGCGATGAAATTCGATACACATATGTTTCATGCGAGTCAAAATCTCTCTACCAAGTTTTATGTGGTTCGGTCCATAATTGACCCTACCCCTACATAAGGTCCCATCCAGATAAATACTTTAACGCTCATTACTGGCTTACAAGTACGAGTGTAGAGATGAAATTTGAGATAAGTAAGTTTCTTACTCGCCAAAAGCTAAGAAACTTTTATAGGAACGTAAATCTTCCTACCGGAAAGTGTATGAACCAAAATTGGTCTAAAAAAATTATGAAAAATTTTATAAAAACGGTCAATGATTCACCCTACCTCTCATATAAGGTCCTATCAGTAAATTTGATGTTTATAGAAAAGCATTCCTTTTACGGCATACGGTTTGATGGTGGGTATATTAGATTCGGCATAGCCGAATATAGCACTCTTACTTTTTTTTTTTTTTTTGATATTTCAGCTTGTAAGTTAGTAGAGTCATCTTAAGTCCAAAAACTTTTAAAATTCTCTTATTTAGTACTTTATAATGTATAAAATAGCGGAAAAATACTTAAAAATTCGGGATTTTAAAATCCCGAAATTTCCCGGGATTTCATTTTTTAAAATCCCGGTTTTCGGTACTTTCAAATCCCGAAAATCCCGGGATTTTCGGGAATCGGGAATTCCCGTTTGGCATCCCTAATCACGATGTAGTTCAAACGTAAAGTGCATTGATAAAATCCATTTATACATACATATTGGTATAAGTTAATTGTTAATAATTAGATATATTCCCAGCAAAAACTTTCAAGTAACAACATACTTTCTAATGACTACTACATATCATCGGGATTACATACGTAGAAGTAGTCTAATAAGGTCTTACTAATAATGTGTTACATAAATATCTTCTAATTCATTAGTCATCTTGCTTGTGAAGCTGTAGAATCAGTGTACGTTTTCTCATATGATTTAGAATGACTACTGTTGGTAACAATATACTTTACAATAAGTTCTACATATCGTCTGGATTACTTAGAAGTAGTCTAATAAGGTCTTACTAATAATGTGTTTTATAAATACTTTCCAATTCATTATTTATTTAGCTTGTGAAGCTTTATGTATAAGTTTTCTCTTACGATTTAGAATGACTACTTTTTCTGATTACTTGTAGGCATTTGTGACATCACCGTGTTAAAATAATGACTTAAAATGCTATTTTAGCATTTTAACCCCTTACATGGTAATGATAGTTTTTTTCTGCGTGCTTACTTACGGGATTTCAACGCACATGTTGCTTTAGTATAAT